GACCGGGTGGGGGAAACCAGCTGCAGGGAGAAGGAACAGCACCCACATCCACCCAAGGCGATGGAGCCTCGTCCTTGGGCGGTGGTAACGGCAGGCAGGGCCCCTCCCGGCCATGGTCCCAGCCCTGGTCCTGGCCACCACAATGCGTCGCCATGGCAACCGCCGCGGCCTGCGGGGCTGTGGCGACCAGGCCAGGCCACGGACAGAACTGGGCTGGGCCAGGCCAGGCCAAGGGCCACTGGATGCAGCTCCCCGGGGCGCAGGCAAGTCGGGGCTGGGTAAGGCAGGCTTGGGCCTTCCAGGGCTTGGCCCTTGCCGGAGGGGCCACGGCTTGGCCCCCCAGCCCGGAGCAGCGTGAGGAGGCCGAAGCCCTGGGATGGGGGTGGCCGGGTTTGAGCCGTGGGCGAGGTGTTGGGGTGGCTCCGGCTCCCATGGGTGCCCCCTTCCACCCCCTGCAAACCCTGACCTGGGGGAGCCCAGGGCCACGCAGCCCCCGGCGTGGGTGACTGCAGCCTCCCAGGCTGCAAACATAGCGGCGCTACGGGGGAAACAGCTGTTTCTGTCAAGAAAAGACGGGGTATAAAAACAGAAAGGGAAAACAAGCACAATCACAGCTCTGTCTGTGGGCAAACAGACTGCTCGAGAGAGCCAAATCGCTCTGAAAGCGGGGTAATGTAACCTGGTGCATGTGCTGTCCCCGTGGCGCTCCATACGGGGAGATGCCAGGAACTGGCACTGCTTTGGGTTAGGGTTTTTGGTTTGTTTTGGGGTGGTGGGGTTTTTTTTATGTGGGGTTTTTTTTTTTTTTTGGAAAGAAAAAAGTGAAATGGAAACACTGCTTGTTTTTTAAATTGACAGCTCTCTTGGAAACAAAATGAGTGAATTAGTATAAATTGTAGCACAGAGAGGGGCCAGGCATCTGAAAGGTTTGCAAACGCTTGAAATTCCGACAGGGAAGTATTATTAGCTCTGTTATGTATTTAGTGAAAATGAGGCTAAGAAAAATTGCTTTGTCAACTAGATATCACCATCTCGCTTTTACAAGACATGTAAGAATGAAAATATCCCAGTAAGACACTACAAGAACTTAAATAATTATAACCAGAAAAGTACATAGAATGAAGAAAGTTACCTGTTGCTAGATCGTATCATCGCACAAAATCTTACGCTCAGAAGTCTGTATTTATTTCTTTTTCAAATCAAGTGTGTTCAGCTTGTGAAAGCCGCGTTCTCCACGCCAAGCGGGGTTACAGTATCACCAACAACGAGGACACAGGTATTTATTTAACTAATTTCTGCTGATGGTACCTAAGCTGTGTGAGCCTCGGGTACTTCAGCTAAAGCACAACAGAGAAACACCTTCCATCTTGGCTCAGCAGGCACCACCGGCCAGGGCACATCTTTGCCGGTAAAGGAAACAGCTAAGACTAAGACAGCAGATACGGCCTCACAAGGGATCACTACCTAAACACCTTCTTAACGGAGAACCATTATCTGCTCACAAGTGCTTTACATGTGTTTCATTTTCCTGCTGTACATTGTTTATGGACTAACAGCGTTCTTCTACAAGAAAACAAGTAGATCTCATGGGCCAAGGCGATGATGTATAAACTAAAAAGAAAGGGAAAGCAATACACCACGAAAGCGCTGTCAGGTTACGACTGTCAAGCCGCTGTGGAAGGCAGAGGTGCAAGGACAAACGCTAGCACGCCTCTTGAAAGCTGTTGTGAGGCAGCACTCAGCGCTTTGCACGGTTCTGCCTGCTGCAACCAGCTCGCCCGAGGGGGCAGAGGGTTAATTTGAATCACCAAGGTGATTATGTAGCGGTAGGAATTGGCTTAGAAGATGGGTCTCAAACCTCAACAGCCTGGCAGATTACGAAGAGAGAAAAATAGTCATCTCCAGAGATGTAGAAGAATGGAAAGAAATTGCTTACAGGAGTACAAAGGCATCTAATTAGAATGAAACAAGATAATAAGATAGGGAGAAATTTTGTCAGAATATATCAGGGAAAAGTTCCTAACAGTGAATCTATTAAGCAGAGGTAGAACCTCCCAAGGGGTGGTAGAAGGAGACCATTGGTTGGAATATAGAAAAGTAGACTATACAAAACATTAGAAACATATAGCTGTAAAGGAAAATTCCTCTGGAACTACAGCTGGACTAACAGTTCTTTCCCATCTATAAATGTATAAGCTAAGCTTTTAATTAAGAGAGGAGAGTCACAGCCACGATTATACTCCCTCACAGCTGCTTTTCCTTTGGTTCTTAATGTTATTATTGCTCCTTTCTTACACAGCAACTGAGCCTTGGAATCATGGCTGCGAATGAATTTGAAACCAGCGCGGAGAGTACTGCGCACAGCAAAGAAGAACAAGACAGGGCCAGTTGGGAGCGGTACCTGGAATGGAGAAACCTTGTTCTGCAGTTCCTGAACTCCAGCCTGAGCCCCTACCACCTCCAGCACCACCGGGACAGAGTTGAGCTTCTGAAGAAGTGTTACTTTTACTTGGAGATTGAGCCCAAACACGTGAACGTGAGAGACCAGAACCAAGTGATGCATTACGTTGACATCTTGCAACTGATAGAGCCCTGCCGATTCCAGAGGATAAAGAAGGTGGGAAAAACCCAGACTGAAATCCAGCTGTCCCTGTTAACTGACCTCTTAGAACAGCTGGAACGAGGTCAGGAGGAGCTGAGCCGTTACATAGAGACCTGTGACATGACGACTTTCCTCTCCCAGTGGAACTTCATTATGCAGAGACTATCCAAGCTCTCAGAGTTTATGGCAAAACTCTTTTCCTTGGAAGTGCCAGGAAAACTCTATGTCAAGCACCATTTACTGTCGGTCTTCACGGATCATGGAGATACCAGACTCCCCGAAATTAGGGTTTCTCTCTGTGCAAAGGTGCCACCGATTTTTGATCGAGAAGAATCATTTGCACGCACGGGCTGGGCCAAGCTCAAGTGGTTCACCAACAACCAAGAGTCAGACCTGGAACAGTATGAACTGCACATTCAGTTGCTGACAAACGGGAACCCGAGAGAAGTGGGATACAGCAGGATTCAGACAGTCCTCTCCAACACAGTGGTAGTCCAGGGCCTGCAGCCCGGCAGATCATACGAATTCATAGTTAGAAGGTCAGCCACCAACATGCTCGTCTTTCAAAAGTGGCACGACAGCATTACGCTGACGTCAGAAGCTCACAGCCTTGAAGACGCAGGCAGCAGCGCTTTTGCCCCAGAAGGATGAGGTGGCAGACAAGAACCTTCTCATTCTGTGCGTTTGAAAAAGACGAATGAGAAAAATTAAAGGTAAACCCTCATTTTCAGCGTTTGGTGTAAAACTGAACTCACTCTGTTTTCAACAATTTTACAAGCACCTTCCCCAAACCTTCCCAGGTTAACAGTAACCCACTCCAAATTTCTCACACAAACTAACACCCTCAGGCAGCACGCGGGACTCAACACTCGCTTCCCACTGCAGAGCTCGCGGGGGGAGCAGCTAGCAGCAGGCAGCCTTGCAGGACACCTCGGATGCAAAGCACGGGGCGCAGAAGCATCTCCATCATCCAGTGCTTTCCATCCACCGAAAGATGCCCTGTGCCAGCTTCTTGCAATGATCTTGTTTTAGGGTTTTTTTTTTACCCCAAATTATCTTTTTCCCCACATCCTTCCTCCAAAACACCAGCAGTGAATCCTAAGCTCTTCAAATCATTCACCCTGACTTATCTCCATCCCTGCTTCCTCTGACCCTCTACATGCTGGGCCTTGGAGGTACCCAAGCACGATTTCATGCTCACCCCTAAACAGTGTGTGAAAAGATCACTCTGACAAAAAAACCCAACACACCAACAAAAAACCCCCGACCACCCCCCCAAACCCCCACAACAAAGAGGGAAGGGCAATACCTCCACACGACCAACACACAGAACACGATCTTTTCTGCCGGGTACTGCACTTAGTGCTCATTTTCTCTTTTACCATTTGGTTCAGTCCAAATATAGCTGTCCCCACACAGATCCTAGTCAAACCATCACATAAACAGGACTTTTAGTAATAAAATTTATTATTTAAATAAATTCATATCATTTTTATGGCTTAAATATCAAAAAAAAAAAAAAAGGAATGTTGAGGTTAATTCTTATAAACGGTAGAAGCAGGTAAAAATATTTGTATCCAAAACGTCATTTGAGGTTTGCTGCAAGTCACAGACATACAAAAGATAAAAACTTGCCACATTTAAAGCTCCTTAATTGACACTTCCCGACACTCAACATTTTATTTCTATTTTAAAAAACCCCAACGATTTATTGCAGTGAATTGATTGTCCTACACAGATCTGTCCAAGTCCTCAGAAACAGTCCAGTGGGGCTTCTCCCATGCCAGCTGGAGCCAAGGAGAGGTCTCCCCGTTCTGGCCATTTCACTGCCCCTCCGAGCAGGGTGCAGGGCGATGGCTGCCACCGCATGGGCCACCCCAGGCTGACGCCCGTCACGCCGCTCGCTGCGTGCGCAGGTTCCCCTTGTCCAACTTGGGCTCAAACTCTGGCTAGGGCCGAGGAAATGAAGTTATCCTCTTGGATGAGCTGACGTTTGTGTCCTGCAACAACGTCCTTCTGTCTGTGAGCTGCGGAAAACGTAGAGACTGCGATCGGACAGATATCCTGTGCGCCGCGCTGCCAGTGGTTTCCTGCTGGAATCACCAAAGGTTTGGTGGTTTGGGCTTTTTTTATACGTATTTTAAGAATATGTGCCTGAACATAAAATTCTTTTGAAAGTAAATTCAAAGCTCTGTGTGCAAATGAAACTGGATTACTACTTTGAGCTTTTTTTTCCTCTATAATTTCTACAATTCTCTCTACCCACGAGCATAAGGACAAGAACACGATACTCAACTGTCACTAACAGTCTATAAAAAGTTTGATTAATTGCACTTTCTGCTATCCCTGACTATTGCAGCTGTCTGACCACCTCTACAGGTACCTGCTCTCAGCCCAAACAGCCCAAGAGTCCAGCTGGCTGTTACTGCTGCTCGGGTGGGCTAGGGCAGCATTTCCTAAACACCGGTTACAAAATGCATCTTCAGAGGAAAAAAAAAATACATATATCGCCTTGCAACAGAGAGGTGACCAAGCAAAGCGCTTCTGACTCGGCTTTACCCTCCGAGGAGTAGCTGGAATCATTTTTTCCATGCTGAGGGCAAAGGGAGATGCTTTGCGGGGTTTCTTTCTCGGGCTAAACAAGCATATGGCCAAACCCCCCACGAGAGCATTGGACTAAGCCACTACACTTAGGGTGAGCCCCCTCATTAGTGTTACACATCATGAAATAACCAGCAAAAAGCCCCACAAACAGGGGAGAGGCTCTTCACTTACATCAGATGATGAAAGTGAGACCCGCTGGTTCTAAAGGGACCAAGATGACTTTGTTAGAATGATGCTGGCACCATGCCGAAGTCTTTATCCCGACAATTCCAGCATCTTTTGCAATTCTCCGCATCACCTTGGAGATACATGATGGCCTTTCAGTAGTCCACAGAATTATTCCCATACAAGCTTACTTGGGAATTGCAATAACATTTGCAAAATCAGGCTGGCGCAGAACCTTTTAAGATCCGAGGTGGGGTGACTTCAAAGAGGAACAATGAACTTCACATCGTACCAGCGTTTATCAAGCATCTTTAGAACCAGCAGGAGGAACTTCCTATGGGCTTTTGTCCCTCACGGAACCGCCAGCCATGTGCCCGTTCTTGTGCAAGACAAGAGCAAGCCTGGGTGGTCTCTAGCACACAGATCAAACCCACCAAATGCAGAAGTGCAGGAAGGTAGTTTAAACTAAGGAAGAGAACAACAAAATTTCTCCATAGGTTCTCGAGTCAAGTCTAATACAGAGTCACAAGAAGAAACACAGCGTTAAATAAGGACTTTTCCAGACACAAGGCTTTCTTATTGCACATTCCTCCACGCTGGAAAGAGCCATGCTGCATTTTCAGCTGCAAACACAGGACAAAATTCATCCCTGCCATAGTGCTGTGAAGTCACGGGGACCCTTCACCTACGCCAAGGAGGACTCGTGTCCCAGCACAGTATATACTCGGTGCAAAATCCACCGCGATTGCATCTTGGCTCCATCCCACGTGAATACCTAGAGACAGCCAAGCGTGTGGTCTTGGGGAGAGCTGAGGCAGGCACTTCATACATTCAGAACTGAAATGAGATAAAAAGACACCCCTCCCTCAAAAATACCATGCTTTAAAAAGCAACTCCGTGATTCAGCAGAGAGCACCCCTTCACTGCTAGACACCTGGATCAGCCATACGTTCCTGGGCAAAAGCAGCCTCCTCTACTGAATCACAGCTTCCAGTTCACAGCAGTTTGGCTACTTAAAATAAAAAAATACATTATACACATATGTGCTGTGGTACATTTCTCAAACTTCCATCACTGCTCTTAAAAACTCAGGCTGTAAGACTGTGAAACAAATTCACAGAGTTAAAAGTTAATAAATTAGAAGCAGCTTTAAAAAAATACGGGGTCGGAAAGGGGACTCTTACAGGAGGGCACTTCAAATAAAACTCACAACAGTTTAAAATACGCTTACAAATTCCAACGTTTCCCAGTAGGAGTGGTCCTCACTTTTCGTTAACTTTATACTGGTGAGAACAACCTCCTTTGTACAAAGGATAAGTAAATCTACTTACAAAAATCAACTTGGCCTTGGCTCTGTGCTATTTACATGTTCAGAGAAGAGCATTCTGGCCAGACAAAGAGTGGTCCATGGGTCTCTCTTTGCTTTCTTCCTTCATTAAAAAAAAAAAACCCCACGAACAACAACGAACCGAAAAAAATTGGTTTTCTGCTTTGAGAAATGAGAAGCTTTAAAAATTCCCTGGCCTTAGTTTTAAAATGAGTGGTAGCACTCAGAAGCTTTGGTCCTCTACGGCAAATCGCAGCTTGCCGCGCCGCGCCGTCGCGCACGGTCGTTCCACCCTCGACGAATGGACTGCTTGGTCCCCAAAGCGCAGCTGCGCTGGCAGATAGGACGGGGGCTCTGCTGAGCCTCTTACAGTTAATAAAACAGTATTGTCATCAGTCAAGCCACACACCCCTCCATCCATTTCCAATGCTTTTTGGTTTGCTAGAGCTGAAAGTTCCTGTCCAAGGTTGCACCGATTAAAAACCCAAGATGCCAAAGCACGCACTGAAGCTGAGCTGCCACCGTGCAGGGGGAGATCCCGGCTCCCCCACTGCATTTGGCTCCCCGGGTCATTAAATAATGGAAAGATTGCGTCCTTCCCAAGGCACACGTAACGCAGGTCAGGTAGAGAGGGACGAGCTCATCGAGGGACAACCCATCCTCATCGGCGCAAGGCTGAAGTCCTCCTGACAAAAATCCCCTGGGCTGCAGTGTAGGAGTTGTGCTGTCTGTAATGCTGCAGCAGTCTCCTCCACAACGGGTTGCACTCCAGGAGGTACCGGTTCCCTGTGGGCATGGGGATGGGGGCAGCGGGTTAGTGGCCAGAAGAGGCTCGGACGAGGCAGTCACAGAAACTTTTCCCTAACGTTTCTAGCCTAAGGGTGCTGGATAACTTGCAGGGACATTTCCTTTAGCCAGAACTCTGTGAAATCCCAGCTCCCTTTTCAGTGCTGTCATCCCTGCAAGCA